TTCTCTGTTCATGTGTATTAGGGCTAATAATCAAACACTAAGTTAATGTTGAACCTGCTTATATTCATCTGTGTTCACAACATTTATTATATGTGTATGTGTGTAATATGTTCATGTATATGATGTAAACAACCTCTCTTTGTTTCCTATTCACTCAATTCACTGGAAGTCTCAAATTCCAGAATTTCTAGTAGACAATCACTACTATCTGAAAGATTTATGTGAAACAAGAAAAAATTTGCTGAAGTTGAAGGCATTTTGTTTCCTTTGTTCATCTAGGCTAGTGGTAAAGTCTCTGAAGGAGAAAGGCTTTGTAGAGCCGGAACTATATGAGGAAGTTACAATCTACTTCAGTGACATTGTAGGTTTCACTACTATCTGCAAATACAGCACCCCCATGGAAGTGGTGGACATGCTTAATGACATCTATAAGAGTTTTGACCACATTGTTGATCATCATGATGTCTACAAGGTAACCACATCACCTAACAGGCTGAAACCATTAATTGTACAACGCGAGGTCATCAGAGCATGAATTGGTTGTTTCTGTTACTACTCTTATCCTCTCTAGTTTCACATTTAGTGAATTGGTGGTTAAATCTGAGCTAACGGTGAAGAGAAGTAGAAGAATTAGAGGAGTGAGAAGTCAAAATTACCATTTAAGAAGCAGCACAAAAGGTACAACAGGAAGTTCAGCAGGAATGAATTTAAAGTACTAAATTTAGACAAAATGGCATACTCTTAAATCACCTCCAAAAAAATGGGCAGTGTTTAGGCTGACTGCAAATGAAGCAGAGAAGACACTGGGGTTATAACAAATAGAAAATCGTACTACAGGAATGTGTATAATTACACATTACAAAATGTAATATTCTGTCAAATAGTATGTTGATATTTGCTAAAAGATTACTTTTCAGGTAACTAAGGGTGTTCCTCAAATTACATAAAACCATTCAGATTATTTATTTGAACATTTCTAGAACTGTCACCACATCTGGACAATTTATATACTTATGAAGTATTTTTAAATGGCTAAATTCCTTTATAGCTATTTTATCACCCATTAACTAGACTATAAAAACCCTGAAGAAATCAGCATAGAACTGATTGAACTGGCCCCAGAAAAAGTGTAAAGGGCTATGCTCATACTGTGTTCCCAAATCACTTTTTGTGTTTAATATGTGATTAATTACTTCTGTTTAATTTCTATGCTTTTCAAAGGGTCAGAGCCACTCATGAGAAACTGTTTCCACAGGTGGAAACCATTGGTGATGCCTACATGGTGGCTAGTGGTTTGCCTAAGAGAAATGGCAATCGACATGCAATAGACATTGCCAAGATGGCCTTGGAAATCCTCAGCTTCATGGGGACCTTTGAGTTGGAACATCTTCCTGGCCTCCCAATATGGATTCGCATTGGCGTTCACTCTGGTATGGAGTTGAGCATCTTAGCAAATGGGGAACCATATGTACTGCTGGGCACCAACTAAATCAGAAAGGATCAAAGGTCTTCAAGTGTGATCGACTTCACATGTTTACTCTTAATTCTTTCTGCCAAATGTGAAGTCCCACTATGCATCCTGAGATATTCAGACCCAGTTCCTAGAGAGCTCTAAGAACAAGAGCTTTGAGGGCACCACTGACTGCTGAAATGATAACATGTACAAAAACAAGAAGCTTTGGACTCCTATTTAAATCACCATACCTATGATTTCATTTGTCTCCTCCCCATTCCCTTTCTCCCCACCCCCAACTTCAATATATTTTCCCACTAAAATATTATAGTATCTTCAGTGGATTAGATTATCTACCAGGGAAAATAAAAAACAGCTGGTGCAATTTCTATACTATTTATACCCCCTCCCCTCCCTGCCACTGCAGTAGTACAGAGTACAAGAGTCACTTTCAAAGACCATGAAAGTTACACAGCCTTGTTAAAAGAAAAGCTTTATGCATATTAAATTTAACACAGTTTGAGCAAAGAACAATTTTCAAATCAGATGGCCCTTAGAACCAGAAGAGGTTTAGAGAGCTTCCATGGGCAAGGTGGGCAGGCAGTGTTTATAGACAGAAAACGGAAGTGAGGGACAGAAACAACTTGATTGGTCACAGCTCTGTGTTTCCCTGATTTGGTCAAGGTCAGATCAGTTGACAGCCTGTGACTGGCTGAAGCTCAGCTACTGTGATTGGCTGAGACTCAGCTATCTGTAACATAAGTATACCCTAGTTAGGCTTTTAGTTTGTTTATGTGTCAAGCTAGGTTGCAGTTTGTTTTGTAGGGATCCCTAAGAGGCAGCCTCAGGCCAAACTTAGTTTAATTCAACAGCCTTGAACTTCAAGATTTGAGAAGAGTTACAGGTGTTATAGAAAAACATAGTAAGAGAAACTCAGAAGTCATCTAGATGAATCTTTTGCAAAGCATTGCTTAAAACCTAGCCTTGCAGTTTCTGAGTTAATCTTTAACTTCTAAAACTGTTAACTCCTTGCACTCAGTCATTCTATGCAAATGCTTGACTGAATAACCCTTATTTCCTACCTAATACGCCACAGTGCATAGTCTAGCCTGGGCTTTTGTTCTGCTTCTTAGAACCTCCTTGTGCCACAGGCTTCCCCATCCAGCTGCATCTGCCTGGTCCATGAAATGCTTAAGGAAGGTTATGCCTTTGTCTTGTCTTCTGTCTTCCATTGTCATGGCACCAATCCCAGAAATGCCACCTTAAAATAAAAATAAAACAAACTTGAGCCATTGAAGTTTCAAGTCTACAGTGCCCTCCAGCAGTGTAAAATTCAGGGTTGTGCGGTTTGGC